GCTTTCTCCCGACTGTCAGGGAGCAATGCTGGCTCAGAGTGCTGCTGTTGTCCCACTCAGCCTTTGGCTCATTCCAGTAGTCATCAGGAACTTCAGCTGCTCAGCAGAGATTGAAATCCCACGGTTGCTATTCTCAGGGAAATTCTTGAATTATGTGTTAGAAACGTTAAGGGGCGTTGTCCCCATAAGTGGATTATTTCTTGGAAGCAGGTCAGACCGTGTGTGTAAGAAACCAAGAAACAGCAGTTTCTGAAGACAAACAATGACGAGGTGGTTCATCCTTGCTTTCTATAGTATTACAGAGCCATACAGAGTCAAGTAAGCTGTTACTTGCATATTCATAATCCGGCTGTCTCTCAGCTCTGCTGGAGAAGTGTCCTGCTCACTTTAGTGGTGTGTTACCAAAACTTTCTCCAACCATGCCCCAGAACTACTTCTGTGTGCATCCTGTGCCCTTAGGACTGTGTAAAAGGCTTCCTGCACTGTCCAGTGTCATCTCTCTGCCACTGAAAGATTTTTCCCTAAAGCTCATGGTTTTTAATCTGGTGCTTTCTAATGTTAAATTGTGGAATAGGGCTGAAATCACAAAATGGAGCTTCCATTGCTTCTTTCTGAAAAGTTTCATTTTTACACAGTTGGTCTCTGTAGCCAAGCCTATGGTGTGATTTGTCTTGCTATCCCTGCTGGAAATATATCAGGGAGGATTTGCCTCCAGAGCGATTCTTTATACCTTTCAGGTGCTTTGTATCCTGCTAGCTACGGATGTACCAAATATTCTAAATTCTCCACTTTCCCCTTTTCCCCCTTTTCTCATTTTACTTAATCAAAATTAAGATGTCTTTCTGTCTTTGGCAGACTGACCTCAAGCAAAAAAAAAAAAAAAAAAAAAAAGAAAGGGTTTTCTTGATATGATGGTTGTCAAGTTTGAAGAGCAAAAGCGTTGTTAGAAATGTGTTGCTAGCACTTGCTTGCTGTAGCAAGCCCCCAGCAGAAAAACTGAATGTGATTCCTTGCAGGGAGATGTGTCTAGGTGCTTGCACTGCATTCATGCAGGGATGCGTTAGCTGCACGCTCTCGGCCGCTGCAGCTTCCCAGCTCCTGCGGGGCCATGTCCTGAGCAGGCAATACGTTTGCCTTACCCTGAGGTTTCAGCTGGAGGTGACAACTGTATGTGAGCAGCAGCAAACTGCTGAGGAGAGACAGGTGGTGGAGTATGCCTTCATGGCCTTTGTGTCCGGCCGGCTCCCTCTGTTTGAGGAGAAGGCTGTAACAGCATCGACGTCCTGCCCGCACGCAGCGTGCTGTGCTGCAGCTGGAGTGGTGGCAGCCACTACTTCACTTATTTGTTCTCTTAGATGCTCAATTGCCACAGCCTGTTGTCTGCCAAAAAGCTCTATCTTCAGTCTCCCCTTAAAAATGTCACACCTAGACCTGATTAGAGCAAGCTCTAAGTATTTACTTTATGGAGCAGCGCCCGTGACATTTCCTACAACAATCAGTGAACAGAGATTCTTTCCATAGCAACCACCCAGCAGTGATGCCTGCCTTTCTGATCTTCCACAGTTGTTGGCTGAAATGATATCAACCCTTCAAGCCATAAACACATCCCATTCTTTTACCAAACAATATTGCCTTCAGAATTAAGACCTTAATATTTTTGTATGTCACTTTGTCCCATATAGTAAGTCATTTATATATATTATGTCTAACACCGCTGCATCAGGGCAAGATATTGTAGAAATGCAATTCAACATAGTAATTAAATACTCAATTTTTCTTTGTTTTGTATACCTGCAACATCCATTTCTCAGAATGATCAATATTTTACTTTGCCACTGTGATTGTCATCCACTATCTACTTGCTGTATTTTTAACATTTAGTTATTTATTAGACATTTGAAAGACCTACAGAGGTCATATAGTGTGAAAAAATGCTTAAAATCAGATCCAGTTTTATTTCATTCTGTGCATTTTTTGCTTTCATTGCTAGCTGGCATTCTCTTAGCTCACTGTACTCTGCCCATAATCTAATCCATCCTGAAGAGGCGGACAGCAGTGTATGAAGTGATTATAAGGATCTTCAAGTGTCTTCAAGGATTTTCTGTACTTGGACTGCAAAAGCATTTTGATGTGTTGTTGATAGAATGAGCACAATAAATCCCCTCGTTATGGTTCCTAGAACACCACCTATTAATAAGGAACAATCTGGAGGGCAAAGAACATGATACAAATTCATCACAAGTGGGCTCAGAAATAATTCTACTGGTTTTGACTGCGTTGCCTGGCATCACAGTGGCTCTGAATTTCAACCCCTTGCTGCAAGTCACATATGGTTAGTTCTCCTTCTGTGCCTGGAGAACATAGACTTTTTCTGATTGTGATGTTTTCCTCCTACCAATGCAATGCGGTGCATTCTGCTATTCTGTGGTTTTTATCATTTGCTAAAAAGATATTGCACCTGCAGCTGTGTGTAGCTACAAAGGCATCAGTTTTTGGACTGAAACACATTTTTACGGGTTTGAAGGCCAGTGTCTGCATGTTACCTCACTATTTTATTTTTCAAAAGACTCTGGGCTGTAAGCACGCACGCCGAGTTCTGCGTTTTCAAATGTTTTGAGATACTAAAAAGCAGCAAGGGACTATGTGGCTAATGGCATCTCACTCCTACCGCAGCTGGCTTGCACATTAGCCAGAAATCTTCCTTTTCCACTCTAATGGCCTGAAAAGTGTGCATCCCCTGCCTGTGGGTGTGGGTAGCTGCTACCGACTCTGGGGATTTTACTGGTTTGCTTTTAATTAAACTGGTGCCGCTCTAAACGAAGCCTGGCCACTTCGCACGTCCAGTTGCTTTTCCACCCCTCTGACAGACCCTGCTCGTGTTGTTTTGCTTGACATAAACCCGTCTGGCTGCCCTAACGTAATCCCTTCACTCAGCTAATTCCCGGGTTGTTTATGGTGGACCCCATCCAACACCCACTGAAGGCAACGCAACCTTCAGCTGCCTCGGCAGCTGTTGGGCCAGCCCTATAAAACAGGGACTTTTCTGCTATTTTCAGGATATTAAAAGCTTGGATTACTTCAAAACTGCACAGTATGTTTTGATCAGGAGGAGAGGAGGAAAGACAACGGAAAAAATTATCTTTGGCATGGCACCAACGCATTTTCCAAGCGTTTTGGAGACACTTTGGAAAAAAAGACATTGTTTGGATCAAGGTAGTCACCCAGGCTCCTTAAATGGTCAGGAAATTGAGAGATTCCCATTGGGGAGGACTCCTCATCCCTTTCAGTCTCCTCTCTGTGAACAGGGGAGCCTATTGTCCATCGGCTGTGTAGTCAATGACTTTAGACTAGACATCTAGTTACCAGATGGCTGTCAGTAGATCCTGTGGAGACACAGAAAGATCTAGGATGGATCCCACCATTTTACCCTTGAGAAATAAACTTTTTTGGTCATTCTGGTCCAAGAGCACAGGAAATTAAGGAGTCAGTCCTCTAGCTGCCTTGGGCAGTTCAAATTCACCTTGGGGTGAAGGGGACCTTCTCACCACAGGAAACAATTAACATCAACCTGGGGGAGTATTAATTTCTTCTTCCCAGTGTCAAATAAAAGCGAGAGTACATTAGCTTCAAACAGTGATACTTTTCTCACTAGCTGCTTCAGACAGGTAATGATACTGTATTATTCTTCATTTTTTAAAAGTATTACCTTGGTCTAGAAAGGCGATTTTATTGAATGTTCACGAGCCACTCCAGACATCATTCATGAATCCACCTCTGTAGCCCAGAGACACCATTCTGACAAGTGTGGGAGTCCTGTATAAACTATTTTGCAATTATATTTGACTTATCCATACATCAGATTTTAGTTGTGACTGTCATTCGCATGACAAATTCTAGGGCAGGTTTCCGTCGATAGAGAGCACCTTCCCACCATTCAGGTATAATGCTAAGCTTCCAGCAAAACTGATGATGTTGCCTTTTGGAGCCAACACACTCAGGCTCCAAAACTTAAAACCCAAAGGGCATCAGTCATTAGTAAATCTGCTGCACAATGTGATATGTAGGAACTTGCCTTAAATAAAATATAATTAAGGTGATTTAACCTTATTAAGATTTAACCTTATTAACCTTAAGAAGCTGTATCCAACAATATTTCTTAATGGTTAATTTAAGGGAAATGAATTTCCAATTTTGTTGTCAAGGTACTTTTTCTTTTCTTTTTTTTTTTTGAAGAGGTCTTTTTCAAAGAGCTGTGACCACCCAGATTACTATTACTTAGTAATAGATCCAATTTCTGGCTACAAGATGAATTAAAAAAACACAGTAATAGTTTGGGGTGGGGGAATCCACTGTTGATAACATCTTTTCAGATTTTATTTGCATTTTGAACTAAAATGGGAATTGGTCCATGCTGAACAAGAGAGGCAACTTTTGGATTGCTCTGTTTGATTCTGGCTATAAAGATATATCTAGAAGGGCTTTGGAGCTCCTGGTTTCAGAGTATGCTGCAGATGCACCTCGATCCCATTTTGGAGCAAGTCCAAGTGAACACAGCCCTTTGTAGCAACCTGGTTTCCACCAGAGGTACAAAAAAATGGATCTCAGTCAAGTCAGGTCCTTGAGATTGTTGGGTGACCAGGATGGAGGGTTGCTGCAAGACACAGCCACCGGTCAGCTACACCTTGTAACATCCATTGCTTACCTTGTAATTTCAAAGGCAAAGTAGGATAGCAGTAAATTCAACATAATTACAGTTCTCCAGACCCTGAAAAGACAGTGTAATAAACATGTGGATTAAGCTTGTTAATTTTTTTCAGAGTATACTTTTAGTAGCTCACACTGCCCCAAAGTCTTTGGCAATTGATTCCCAAGAGTGAGCTATCATCAGAAAACTCAGAATCCAGCACAGTGTTTTTCTACAGCCTCCAAGCTAATAGATTCTAAATAATGATAATAATAATAGTAATAATAATTCATATGTGTTTGTTTTTCCTCTGCAGTTAATATTTTGACACCAATATGGGAAAGCAAAACAGCAAACTACGCCCTGAAGTCATGCAAGATTTGCTAGAAAGTACAGACTTTACAGAACACGAGATCCAGGAGTGGTACAAAGGCTTCTTGAGAGACTGTCCAAGTGGACATTTATCTATGGAGGAGTTTAAAAAAATATATGGGAACTTTTTCCCTTATGGGGACGCTTCTAAGTTTGCGGAACACGTATTCCGCACTTTTGACGCCAACGGAGACGGAACAATAGATTTCAGAGAATTCATCATAGCCTTGAGCGTAACGTCGAGAGGTAAACTGGAGCAAAAGCTGAAGTGGGCATTCAGCATGTACGACCTCGACGGGAACGGCTACATCAGTAAGTCAGAGATGCTGGAAATCGTGCAGGTACGTGGTCCTCAGAGGCACCCCTCAGCCTCCCTCCTTCCAAGGAAATGATGAAGCAATGTTGCAATGAGACACTGACTTAAAAGCTCTGGCAGCATTTGGGGCGTTATGTTCTTGGTTCTTGAATTTTAAATGTTATTTCATTTGGCAAAAGTCGTGTCACAATTCAAACGACAGCATTTGATATCTGTTGCAAGTTTTTCCTGAGCAACATGCTGTGGGGGAATGTCTCCTTTGGGAGTTTTGTCAGGCAGGAGCACAGCAACTAACCTCCTGATAAATGTGATTCTGTCCCCTGGGAAAACACTGACAGTTAATTACAATTAATTACAGTTGGACCAAGTAGGTGTCTTAGATCAACCAAGTAGTGTACTTTTAAGGAAGGCAGGCTCCCTCCACAAGAAGAAAGGAATCATGTTGTTATGGAGAAACAGCTCACGTATTTTATATTTGGTGGGGTTTGGATTTTTTCATTCCAACAGGGTCTGCATACTTAGTATCACACGAGCTGTCTTCATATTAGGTTGCCAGTGAAGATAAACCTTATCTGGGCAGACAAAGATTCCATGCACAGCTTCTTTGGATGCATTTTCATGTGGTGTTAGTAGGAGTCCCACCTCGCTTTGGCTTCCCCTAACATGTTTTTACCCTCGAGGCACATCACTCTACTGAAAGCTTTAGAACATTTTTGATATGGTGGTATATTTACACAGCTTGAGCCTGTATAATGCAGCACTGTTTAAAAAAAAAAAAAAAAAAAAAGCCCGTTATCAAGATCCTCTCTTTCCCTGGAAATTTTGAAATGCTTACTATGTACTGTATTATTCAGATTTGTATTTGTGCAGGAAATCAAGGGAAAGGAATGCACACCAAGTTACAGGCTGGGATGGCAAACTGCACGTTATGGAGTCAGCCTAAAGTGTGGTGTCCTTGTCTTTCTACCGGGGCTCTTCTCACGCCCTCCGGACAGGCACCGACACCAGCACTTGTGCTGCTTCAGCAGGACCAGATACAAAACTCAGCTGCAAACGCAGGGGTGTTGTGTCATCTTTCACTTATTCTGTTTTGTGTTCCTGTGTCTGAGTTAAAGAGCAGGATTGCATTCAGATGCAGAGACCTCCCTGTCTCCATGCCATGACAAACCCCATGGAACATTTGCATTAGAAGATACTCTGTTCCTTACCTACCTTCCTCTCCCCCGGGGAGGGTAAACAGGCTATCGATTACTGTTTTCTTAGCTGTATTTCTCCTCATGAGAAAACAAAGAGAATCTCAGAAGAACTAACAAAGTACAAAGCAAACACAAGGAGCCAACCCCGAGCGAGCGCCTGCTCCTCAGGAGGAGGAGATGCCCTGGGGATGGCAGGACCTCTTGCTGCCATCGAGTAGCCTGGGAAAGCCCCAGTGCTAAACAGACCCCTCATGCCCCCCAGAACAGAAGTTCTACAGACATGGAGAACAATGCCACAAATATGTTCATGTCAAATTTAATTAAAGCATCAGTGACTGGATTCTCTGTAGCAAGCCAAGAGAAGACTGGCAAGCTTTTTCCAGTTACCCCAGATCTGCTCACCAGCCTGATTAGAGGCTGAAGTGCTCTGCCTCCTCTTCACAGTCCTGCTGGTACTAAACCTCAGCGTCCTCCTTTACAACCGTGATGCTATCATCAAACAAAACTGCAGCTCAGGGATCAGTGTTCTGGCGACGTTCTGCCAGTTTGTACCTCCAGCCCAGGGCAACACTTGGCTTGGGTACAGCCCTCAGCCTGGCACTCCAACTCCCACCGCACTTCTTGGGAGGTTCAGCTCTCTCATCTTCTCAGATCACACCCAAAACTCCACTGAGCGATGCTTTCTCCCATTTAGCCTCACCCCACATTTTGAGGGACCACACAAAAATTGATTATGGAAGAAAACGGCCTGATAAGCCTGAGCAACTGTGATTTCTGTATTATGAACCATCGGTGGTTTTGCATTCAGGAAGCTGTGATAGAGCTTCCCGTGAGGCAACGTGCTTGTAGATCTCATCCAGTTCTCTTCTTCCAGTCTTTATGGTCATAGTGTTCTCCCTGTGTTGCACCAGTCACCCGTAGCTCCTCCTGGGGGGGTAGGGTTTGCTGCATGGTCTCTGGAAGCCTGTTCAGCTGGTATGTGAAAATGATGTAGATGAGCACATTTTCTTGCTTCATTGAGAGATTCCTTTGATGTAGAGTGATTAGACTTATAAAAAAACAGCTAACAACTATCACTTTCGTTTACAAAAGATGATTATTTTTTAATATGGAAAGACAGGATTCTGTATCAAATGTCTTCCTGGGGGCCCTCAGCTGTCACAATCTTTCTGATAGTGAAAAACAGGAGTCTGTAATATCTCTGATATATGTCTCAGAGGAACCTATTACAAGTCCCTTATCTAGCATACATTTGCGTATTGATTAGCAGGATTTATTATGTTTCCATCAGAATTTTTGCATGAGACAATACATCAAAATGAATGCTAAAAGAAACACCCTCCATCTAAGAGTCTTAGTTTCACATAAAAATACTGCCCCTCTTACTGTGGGATTACTGTTTCTTGAATAACATAAGGGCAGGGCACACTTTCCTTCTTTTTCAGTCTGCTTTGCTTTGTGCAAAAACAAAAGTCCTCTGTCGGAGCCCACTACTCAAGTAGTGATTTCCACTCTTCTGCTGATGGTTGCTGGCATTTCCTTTCTCTTGACCTGGCCCCATCTAAAAGCGCTGCAGGCAATGGGGGCCTTGGTCTCTTGGTCAACATTGCAAGAGGATGCTCGTGGTAACAGTGGTGGCAACAGCAGCACTGAGATAGCAAAGCTACTGGTTAAGATGTCTCACAGGAGCCCTGGTAACTGGCCAGCTACCAAAGAGATTAACGTGAATGGTCCATAACAGCTTCTTGAAGCCCGTTTTCTCTGAAAAGTGATGGGCTAGAGGGCAAAGCACCTGCACTCCTTTAAGCTCTGTTTAGCATAGTGGTGTTAACCATGTATGCGTAGTCTATCACACACTCACCACGCCTGCCCGTGAGCTTTCCCCTAGACAAATCTCCAAAAAGCCCTGCTTGGAGGCACACAGAAGCCATCTGCATGGAGCTGGGTGCAAGTCTGGAGGATGTCATAGCCTGAAGGACTTCAGTGGTGGGCTGATGATTGCAGAGCCCAGTGAAAGAAGGTCCACAGGGTACTGCTGCACTTACCAGGTGTAGCACATCTGCAAAGTACTGTGGGAAGATGCTCATAGCCTGCCCTGCTCACAGACTACACCACAGATTCTCCTGCTCTAGAAATGCTTTTCATGTCTCCCATATGTTTACCTATAATCTAAATAGCCCAGTCCACTCAAAAATAGCTGAGAACAAGCTAGAAGACTTGTGTTTGTTCTCTTTGCTGAAATGGGACATATTTGGCAAGAGTCTCTTAAAATAAGAGTTCAAATAAGACATGGAAACCTTCTTCTAAGGGTACATTTTTTAACTGTGTGGAGTCATAAGGCATCTTAAGAATAAGGTATCTTAAGAATACTGAGCCGGGAGATGAGAATAACACCTCCAGTTTAATACCAAATAGAGCACTTCTGTTTCACTTGTTGGGCGAGCTCATTTTTAAGCCAGGAAGAAACAGAAGCTGAACGGAAAGAAGCAGAGGCTGATATGGCTCTCAGGACAGACAGTGCCAAAAATCCCCATGGGATTGAGAGGAAAGCAATTTTTTTTCAGGCTGGTTATTCACTTCGTGAGATTTTTAGCTGTCAAAATTTATTTCAACAGAGTAAGAAGGACTGCCTCAAAACTTGTGCTGTCATTGCTGCCTTCACAGTAAGGAGCTCCTTGACACTTTGCCAAGCACAGGAGGAAAGTGCAGCCCTCACCAGGGTTTCTGGCCCAAGTGCAGCAGTGGCAGCCAGCAGCTGGGTGCAAAATCTGTGCGAATGGGCAAAGGGGTGAGATCTGCCCTAAATCGGCCATGGCTGCTCATCCACATGCAGGTGGAAAATCAAAGGGGAGAGCTCTGCAGGGAACCAGCCAGTTCAGATGAAGGTGGAGCTTGTGCTCACTCCTGTGACACACACAGGGCTCTGGAGGCACAATTCCTTGGTGGCACTCAGGGGCACCAGGGTGCTCCTGAAAGAAGCCCACCTGCAGAGGCTGCCCAGGTGCTGCTGATAGGTAACCACTTCCAAACCTTCTCAAGCTGGGTGCCACTGATGGCTTTTGGCCCAAGTGCAGTGGGGCTAAGGAGTTGTACTCCACATGGAGTGGAGCCCCTGCAGCCTTTCGTCCCCAGGTTACAGCCCAGGGTAAGTACAGCCCTGCTCCACCTAATTATTGCACGAAACCAGCTTCCTTTGAAAGCTTGCTCTTTCAAACATGCAATAAAGAGCTCTGTGTAGCTGCGCTGAATTAATATGGGGCAAATCTCAAGATTCTTAATCAGCTTTAGCTGGCTTTTACTTTGGGAAAACTTCCCACTGAACTTCTGAGTAAGGACATAAGAATTTGTCCAGAGTAACCATTTTCAGCATGAAAGGAACGCTTACTATGTTATTCCCATCTGGCTTTCCTAGAATATCTCATCTGTTATTCCCTTCACACGCCTCTGTGAAAAGGACCCTGTAGGATGAAGTCATCTTGAAGTGCTTTTTTTTTTTTTTTTGTCCTAAAAATCTGCATATTCTTACTATGGTTACTTTGATCAGAGTAAACACGCCTGCACTCCCGCTCTGGGGCATTCCTCCCACACTTTCAATACAGATTCTCTGCTTCTCCATCCTCTCACCCAGAGTGAGGGAATGACCCCTCCACCTCTCTTCCTACCCCAGACAAAAGCCAGACAGCTTAAGATGCTTAAACATTGGCAGATTTATAAGCCCCATCTCTGCTCTGACCTCTGCGAGTCTTGCATGCTGATGAGGATGAGGAAGGTGTAAATTCTTACTGTCCACCCCCTCCTTTTTTTTTTTTCTTCCTCTATTCCCTCCTTCCTCCAGCTTCCTCATCCCTATGTTCTAGTGATTGCACCTTCATTCTTTCTTCTGTTCTCCTGGTTATCAGATGATCAGGGTTGTGTGGACAACATCCCTGCCTGTACAGAGGCTCTGCCTAATATTCCAGCACCCCAATCCTCTTGGGAGACTTTGGGAATTCCTGCAGTGCAAATCGTGGTGATAATGATGATGAATAAAAAGATGCCCACCCCTTTGCTGTTCAACCAGCAGCTGTTCATGATGAAATGTTCTCCTCTGTTCCCCTGCTCGGGTCCATAGCATTACAGGCTTACCGGAGGGCAGAGCAGGAAATCCACAGCCGTGGTTGGTGACATAACTGAGGGAGCAGATGTTCCACTGCACACAGCGTAAGCGAGGGATAATTAATTAAATGGACAAATGCCTTTCTCAGGGTGTAACTCTTTAAGTTATTTAAAGTCCAGGAGATGTGAAAGGTGAGCTGCTGACAGAGAAGAAATCAGCAAGACGGCTGAGGAAGCTCCCTAGCCTGAATGTGGAATGTCTGTGCTGCTCAGCGGCATCCTCCAGCTGGTGAATCTGTGATGCCACGTCCCCGGAGCCATCCCTTGGGGACCCTGGGCCAGATGATGGGAGCATGCTGGGCAGAGTGCCTTCATGGATGGGAAAAGGGGAGAGGGGAGATGCAGTGAGTGGTCTTGGGCTTGTGCCAAGGATCCCCCCCCCGCCGCCTCCCAGAGCAGGAGGAAGCGGATAACAAATAGCTAAAGCAATCGTGTCTGCACTGAGTTATCAACTGACCGCCGCAGACACCGTGTTTGGGGGCGGAAACAAGAATTTGAATCTGTGGAAAAAATCAATCTGTGTCTACAGAGCAGGGCTGGAGGGCAGAGCGACCGCCCAGCGCGGCCCCCGGCAGCTGGAGGCCAACGAGCTGCAACGGGAGGCAGAAGGAGCTGGTGAGACCAGGGCAACGCTGCCTTGGGCTGGGATGCTGCCTCTCCAAACGGCCGGGAGGGTCCCCCGGGGCCACCACCCTGCAGCCACATCTCACTGCCGCTGTCCTCCCAGCTGTGTGGCACCGTAAAGAGACCTAGCACACAAAGCACTCCTTTACCCATACTGCATGCTGGCATTGGCAGGCAACGTTTGGATGACGAGTTCAGAGACAACTGCTCATCCCTGTTTTAAAATTAACATCACCTCTCTTCTAGGGACTGCTAATACCATACGTGACTAATGGATTTGTCTGTACAGAGAATAGCGATGGGTGGTACCGGTGCCGTGTGGGACCAGAACATCTGCTCTCTGTAAAACGAATTGTGAATGGGGATTGTGCTGTGTGGGCACACCATTCCCTAAGGAAAAGGCCACTTTGTTGCTGGTCAAGTCTTAATTATCTGTGAGACATGGCAAATGCCAGGAGTGAGTCACTGCCCTCTTCACAGGCAGGATGCTGACCAAGGCGGGAGAGAAAGGAGATGAGGGGGAAGCAAAGGCAGGGTGAAGGGAAGAGGTGGATGAGGACGGAGCCTGGGTGGGTGAGCATGGAAGCATGCCACAGCGCAGGACAAGACCTCAGTGGTCTTTCCAGTTCCCCAGGCACCAGGAGCTGCCAGGGCCTAACGCGCTGTACGAGTGATAAATTCATCCAAAGACTGTCCAAAGACTAAGGAAAAATGTAACCTCAGCCCAAACCCAGATTGTGTTCGACCGTGACTAAATAAGGAAACACAGGATTTCATAAATGAGTGTCCCGCTGAAGAAGGCAGCTGCATGCACTGGTGCCACCCGACTCCCTCCAGCATCCGGACAGCAGGTCCCAGCTGATGTTCCTGGGATATTTCCTGTCTATTTCAGTCATCAGCAGACAATCATACCCCTGCATTAAGATAATGTGTTTCTTACCAGCTCTTTGCTCCTGTCATATCACGCAGGCAATCTATAAGATGGTTTCTTCTGTAATGAAGATGCCGGAAGACGAATCAACACCAGAGAAGAGGACAGAGAAGATCTTCCGCCAGATGGACACCAACCGTGATGGTAGGCACCCTCCAGGCACCAGGCTGGCTGCCTTTGCCCCTCTGCTGGGTGGCTGGGGAGTCCTGCCCACCTGGGGTGACCCCTCAAACCCACCACTCCTCCTTCAGCCACCCAGGCAAAGCCACCACCGCCCACAGCCAGTGGGGAGGAGGCAGGCAGGGCTTTGCCTTCTGGGGTTGCTTTACCAGGAATTTTCCTTGGTCTCCCCCAGCTTCCTTCCACTGTGCTTGTCCATAGGCTTGGCAGGTGTGCTGTGACCCACCACGTGCACTAAGCAAATGTGTTTCTTTTCTAGGAAAACTCTCTCTGGAGGAGTTCATCCGAGGCGCCAAGAGCGACCCATCCATAGTCCGTCTCCTGCAGTGTGACCCCAGCAGCGCCGGGCAGTTCTGAACACGTTCTTTGGATGAATTATGTATCTGCTTTTTTTTTTTTTTTCTTGCCAAACAACATTCATGGTAGTGTTGCCTCTGTATGGCCAATTATGCCTTCTTTTGTGGCATCTTATAGCTTCTTTTGTTGTGGATTAATTATAAGAATGCTGAATTGCTCTTAACAATTTGTCCAGAGCACGGGCAGTACTGTTTTAAACAGATATTGTGGTGTTATCATTGTTTTAAAGATTTCGTTTTGTTTTTTGTTTTAACGTGACTGTTTTGGAAAGCACGCGTTGAGAAGGAGGAAACCAGCAACAGAACCCTTGGCAGCAAGACACACTGACAGTTTTTTAGATTGCTGCTTTAGTAGCTGAGTATTCACCCGCAGGACCTGAAAGTGTAGTAGAGGTTGAACCAAAGGGGTTGCGATCGGTGGGGTAGGATTCACCTGGAACCTCCTCTCCTGTCCAGGAGGCACCAGTTTAAGGTCAAAGACAGGATGGAGAATAAGTACGAAAGTGCAAAACGGGTGCGGGGTGCGTTGTCTGCACCCCTGCTCCCACGCCTCACTGTTTCAATGCTGTGAACATTTTCCAGGTTGTGAAGAAGAAGAAGGGAAAAGACAAAGAAGGACAGTTTTTCCTAGGTTTACAGTGGTTGGTTTCACGTGGCTTTATCTGCAAAATTCAGCAATTTGCAATCCTGATCCCCAAATCCACAACTGACGATACCTCTTGCCGTGTGGGATCAGCAAAGGCAGACACAGCTTAGGGAAAGCCGGGTCTTGACAATGAATTTAAGGGAGATGATACATGTTGAATGTGAAATTTTCAGGTTAGTCATAAAGCAGTTTCTACTAAGGAGAGTGGGCATTCACGTGAGGAACTCACGGACACGCAGCTCCAGCTGAGGCACATCTGCTGCTCTGAATGCTCTTGCGTAGTATGAAGTTTTGGGGGTGTTTTTGTCTCTCTCCATGTAGCTAATGGAGTTTCTGGACCTGCCCTTAGGGGAAGGTTGTCATCAAAACTTGTTTTAAACATAAAATTGTAGCATTTATATTTCATTTATTTTAGTAAAGTTCGAAAAATCTGTACTGAAACGAGGAAATGGTACGCTTTATGGTATATTTATATATATAAAAATTAAAACAAAAAAAAGATCAGCTCTTGAGAGAAATGTTGAATGTTTATCTTCTCGCCTAGATGCAGGAGTTCTGAAATTTGCTGCTGCAAAACCTTATCCTTTGGTCAAAGCTGCTGCTTGCAGAGCTAGTAGACATTCGTGGGATTTCTTAGGGACATTACGAGCGCTGCTGCAACGGAAAAGCTTTAGCAACAGGAGGCATTATGCTGACTAAATTGGCATTAATCTGTCATTAGCTAAAGTCTGCTCTGTGATCCTGTTGGAGAGGTACCCATGTAGGCAGTGCACAGCGCTGGGAATTCGTGAGCTCGTTAGAGTAACCTTTGTCTGACAGGCAAGGTTGGCGTTTTGTCAAGTGACCTTGTAGACGCTAATCCCCAGTAGCCTTAATTTAAAATAAACTAAGTAAAATAAGTCTGCTTGGCAAATGATGATTAGCTAAGTACTAATTAGAAGTCATGAAAAAGAAGCCGAGTATGAATAATTTTTTGTAGAACACTAGCTAGCACGAACAGCAGCTGAGAGAAAAAAGTCCTAGACTTAATTTTCCATACCATTTGCTTTGCCAGGTGTGAAGTGCAGAGCATATTAAAACAAAATAAAAATAAATTGAAAATAACATTGCTAATCGGTTGTACTAAAATTATTATGAGTGGCTAATTGCACTCAGTAAATCTCTTCAGGCACACGCCTTTGTCTTAAATGATCACAGAAATCCAGTCAATGATATATTCCCATTATACTAATCAAAATACCAAGCAGAGGCGTGTGGGGGACAAAGCAAAAGAGGCCCAACCACAGACACAAAGAGCTTTCAATACCTAGTGCTTCACTAGCATCACTGGCAAATTTTGCACCAATTCTTCCAGCTGATGGAAGTGTTCTGTCTCTATTTCTCCCTAACTTTCATTAGGCATGCTGTGCACAAATCTAACCCTCCAAAGGAGAGTCTGTGCCTACCTTCTTCGAGGTAATTTTCTGCTTTACCTGGAGAGGTTCTGGCCCTCTTTCCCATATCAATCATCTCATGCGTATTCAAGTCCATGCTCCCTCTTGAGTGCTTTGAGGGCTGTTTTTCAGCAGGACAAGCCTGGCCAGGCTGCTGGGGGTGGCAGCAGGAAGGTCAGTGGACACGCACTGATCACCACCCCCTCTGGCAGACAGGAACGACCAGTCCTGCCACCCCGGCCACCCCTGAGGTGCTCCATCACCACCCCTGGGAAGGCAGGAGGAGGTGACACTAGAGGAACCCTGCTGAACTTCTAACCTACCAGCTCAGCGCAGGCACCCAGACCCAAAGCCCAGCAGTGTTTAGTGACAGTACACTTGGGTACCTTCTGCAGCTCCATCTTCCTTTTAATGTTGTGAAAGCAGTGGGACGTGACTGAAACTTTTAAAACCTTGCCTTTTATTTAAGCAACTGCGTTCCATTTCTTCTAAGTTTTATAAGGTATTTCTGGCCCAGAACCTAATCTCTCAGTTTGTTTTTGCTTGGCAGTTCTAGGGCCAGGCTTGCTTCACGTGTCAATACTTTACAACACGTGTTTGAAAACAGAACTTGCGATATGACCCCAGGCCAGCCGAGATGTAATTCTTTCCACAGTTCACAAAATCTGGAAGAATAAGAATTAGCCTACAGCTGCAGAGGACGTAGCCGGAGATAAGACTATTGTATAAACATTTACAGAGTGAACCGAGGTTATTCTTTTACCTGACTGCCACTGACGATGGGTATTGTTTTAAATTATTAACTATCCCTTTCTCTCTCTGCCTCTGCATGTGCTGTGAAGGTGAGCTCTAGCTGGCGTTGTGGTAGGAGCTTCTGCAGACCCCAGAGCAGCGGGACAGCAGGGATGTGCTGCGCCTCCAATAGGAATGTTCTGCTTTGCTGCCATTCACATTTGCAATCCTAACTGCCTTCATAAACCTTCTGGAGACAAAATGACCTCTCCTGTATAAAATAGCACAGCAAGTCAGACACTTTTGAAGTGCTCCATTAGTAGTGTTTCTCTACGGGAAGGATGGCAGACAGCATGTGCTATTCCACACGACCTCTCAGTTTTGTAGATGCATTCTGCAGTGCTAGTTGCATGTGAAAGAGGTCACCCTCACTCATGTGTGGTCCAAACGAATTAGTGAGTGCACCCCACATGTATACTGAACCCATGGAAAGGACCAGTCCCGTTTATCCTGCATTCCCAGTCGGCTTGCCAAACTCTGGGCCAGAAGATGGGAAGTGAGGACTATGATTTGTGTGATCTGCAGCAGCCTGTCCTTGTTTTAGGGTGCTTTGGGAAGGGAAACAGGAGCACAACTGTTGTAAAACCAGTGTACCTGGGTTTTTGTGAGCACTTATGGTTTGAGAGGGACCGAAGACTGATCTGTGCTTCAACATTATTTGAAGCCCTGTGAGTTCACAGCAGTGGATGTTCCTGAGGTACACAGAGCTGTGCTCTTCCTCTTGCTGTTCTCAGGAGCTTGTAGGATTTTTACCTTACTATTGGGGCATTTTGCCCTCTGTTGTTTTCTGTTTTAAAGCATGACCTCCACTTTTTCTAGACACTACTGCTTAAAACAGTAAGCCAGAAGCGTGTAACTTCTGTAGCTGGACAAGGTCTATGTGCAGAAGTATTGCTCACTGGCACAAAATGTGTTCACACAGGACCAAGTCCCTGCAGTTTAACAGTTGCCCCCAGGGGCTGAGCCCCTGGGCTTTCCAGCATGTGCTCTCTTCACCGATGGCAAACGTGCAATAAAGAGGCTTAGCTTAATTTTCTTTCACTGCAGACCAGGCTGAGCCGCATTTGCTGTATGCTAGAAGCACACACATGGGCAGAAGCCTCAGCTCAGCTGACTCATGGAAACTTGGTGAACTGTGGAGCCCTAATCCTCAGCCTAAGCCGAGTGAGAACATGGCCGTGGCCATACATCCCTCGGTACATGTGAACCAGGGAACACGGTGACAACTGGCAGGTCCCTGGGGACACGTGGCGGTGGGGAGGGAATCCCTTGCCTCGGAACGAATGGCCTGAGCTCAGCTGTCTCCCTGGTTTTAAAACTCTCTCTTCTGTGTTGTTTTTGTTGTTTTTTTTAGCACCACTGGTGAAGATGCAGCATGACAGCAGTATAGCACGGTCAGGGTAAAGGAGGGATCCTTCAAAAGAGTCTCCTTTTGAAGCCTAGCGTAGGAGCGCCAAGGGAAACCAGCGGAGGGGAGGGCTGGCTGAGACCCCTCCTCAACATCCATGATGCCAGCACCTCCTCGTGTCTCTCCCACAGTGCTCCCTCGCTGTCCTGTGGCGAGATGGACCCGGGGTCAGGAATTAGTGGTCAGGCAACTGGTGTGAGACCAGTGGAGAAGAGTATGTTACCTGCCCTGTGCACAGGCGTTGGGATGCACTCTTCGCTCCGCGTCTCACTGAGCTGGATCTCACCTAGGAGTCTTGCAGCGGGGGAAGGTGGTTTGTTTCCTTGGTATCACGGGCAGAACTTGTGTTTAGAAATGCAGGGGAACCTGGGGAGCACCAGAGAGCCCAGCGGAGTTTTCCACTGAGTGTGCATCAGGCAGATCAGATACAGAGCAGTGACATGTCAGGCTCGTGGTGTGATGCCCTCCGAGATAGGGCGAGACCAGAAGTGGCACCTTCCCTCTGAGCAGCTCTGTCCGTGTGTATTCAGTCAGCAGCACTGACAAAACACGCGTTTAAATACCTTTAGCATGAACGTGCAGCTGCAGGAGCAGAATAACTCTGCTCTTTCTCGCATACAAGTAACAGAGCTGCTCGCTGTGCCCTGGTTAGAAGCTGAACAAACAGTTCCTGGGAAGAACATGTGGCATTTCTTAAGTGTAACTGAGGGCAAAACGTTGCCTGCAGCAGCTTTCTTCCCAGTCATGGTAGACAAGAGAAGCTCCATCCAGCTCTCAAAGCCCAGGTGCCATTTTAAGCACACAGAGGGAAAAAGCAGCAGGGCTTGTAAATGTTAGAATTTAGAAATCGGGACCATGATTGAGGGGCTGCAGAAGCCGTTCAGGTGCCTCTGGCACTGGGAGCAGTAGAACAATCGGTCGGATGCAAAGTCAATCCCCTCATCCCTTGAAGATGCCCCTTATTCCAGCCTGCTCCCAAATCAGCCGTGCTGAGAAGTTGTTTTGGGGAGGGGGTTTTCAGAGGGTCAGATATAAAGCTTTTCAGATATACTGTCCATATCCTAACAATAACAGCTGGAAAGGCCAGATGTGAGGGGCTTCTTGCAATGTACAGATTTCCTCATTGCTCCCCCAGGTCTTAAGTGTTATTTTAATATGTACAGTTGGGATTAAGCTATCACGTGTAAAATGCTGGCTAATGCACAATAAACAAGGCAAAAAAGAGCTTGAGTTGTAGTGAACAATCTGAAAAGACCAGAGAAATGAAAAAGTGTAAGAGCTATCCCTTCCTTTAGACCAGGGTGTGAATTCACCAGGTGAAACTCCCTCCTGAGCAGCAGTTGGCACAGAAAAGCTCCTCTGTGACAGCCCGGTCTGCGGCTGCTTCGTCCCCACATCACCATTGCTGAGGCCAGGGACTCTGAGTCCTGCCACAGGGATGCTCATCTGAGCTTCTTCAGCCTGCTGAGGGCTTCCCAGATCCCAAAGTACATGGTGGCCACCGTCTCCGTTGTGTTGTCTCGCTGTGGAGCTGGGACATGTCTTAGATCTTCCCCTCTTGCTCTGATCTTATACCAAAGATGTTCTCACCTTCCCAGGGCAGGGGCTCAGGGTGTCTGGCTCTCTGAGGCTTTGCGCCCACCTCCTGGTTGCCATCCCTATCCTCTCTGTAAATGAATAACAAACACCAGCCCTTGACATCTGGAGGGGCCAGGCTTGATGCACTTAGATGGAACATCTTCTGGTTTGGTTCCCAGCCTCTGGTCCTCCTGTATACCTTGCCAAGCACACTATTTATTTCCTGTTATTAAGTAATGGTAGTATTAAACATTTCGAGAGCACGCCGAACCTCTAGAACAATGTGGTTTGCATTATCATGTACGTGTTGGTTGATGCACTGCAGACTGAACCTGACTGGTGCTTGCTCTCTGCTCCCATGGTTTATTCCTTGGAGAGCTGACTTCTTCCAGGCACGACCACTATCTTCCTATGCATCACCATTCGGCACGGTGCCCTGATCCTGCCTGGAGCACCCAGATGCTGTCAACCAAGAGACAATTTTGGTGCAGTAATGTCAGGCAGAAACTCTTCCTACCATCCGGCAAAAACACGTGTCAGGGGTGCGACCTCTGGTTTTCTCCTCCCTGGGGACAGGGGCTTCACTGGTATTCCGGGTTGGCCTCACGTTCCCCCACCAAATGGGATGATAGCGATTAGTAAACCCACCTGAGAAAATCCTCTTAAATTCTAATCTTCGTTCGTGCTGTTAATTGGCTGCGGTCAGAGGGATGATTAATGGGTCCTACACGGTTGTTTGGGGGGAACTCACAGTTCTTTGCCACCACCACTGTTTTATTTCCTGTCACTAGCTTATTCCCATTTCCGGGGCAACCGAATAGTTTTTATTACTAACTGGGAGAAAAAGAAACAAACAGAACCCGAGTTTCAATCCGATAAGGATCTAAGGAAACTGACTGAGACATTGTGCTCCATGTTAGTCATATGAACGCTCTACCGGATCATGTTTCTTTGGTATTTTCTGTTTGATTTCCTGATTCGTATTTCAGTTGCGTTCATGATTTATTTATTTATTTTGGATCCTCTTAGACTCAGCCCTGCCGGTCGTTTAGCTCATATGCTAACAAAAGTCTCAATTATCCCAAGAGCAGAGCTGCCTGAGCAATTACTAGCAAGGTGGGCTCACTGTGCCTAGGAAAAATGAAGTGCTTAATTATGTTAGGGGTTATTTTTGTCTGTGCATTTGCTGCAAGAAGACAGATTGAGCCGCATTTCATTTCAATATGCTTATCTCTTCCACTTGCTCACTTCAGTTCCATCCAAGCAGTCTTGTAGTTTATGTTTGTATATTCAGTTCTATTTCACTCTAGAACCCGAGGTGACCAATATTGGCCTCCTCTGATGAAAGTTCTTGATACCTTTTGATTTTTAAATATTGCCAGGTGAATGACATGATGAATGCAAAAGTAAATAGTTATATATTTGTTTGTGTAAATTTGGGCAGATATTTTTGACGCTGTAGAGAATAATAAATTGAGATAAACCATGACCAAAAGCTGAATGGATCCAAGTGTGCAGCTCCCGTTCAAGTCCATGACCATTCCACAGGGAGAGATTTCCCACCTCTGTTCCCTCAGGCTATTTCCACGTTGCAGCACAGAGGAGAGATACCAAATCTAACTTGAAATAAGCTACCACAGGCAGACTAACCGCAGCAGCATGGAGTTCAGCATATCCTGTGTCTTGGCAAAATTAGATACCTCTCTAGATGAATGCTTTGTAAGCAAACCTACATATCCTAAGGAAGACTTTTACAACTCAGAAAGGAGGGACAACTATGAACTAAATGAATTTGGTCCGCATAGTTTTCTTATGGCTGTCTAGAATTGCTAGTGTCCTGCGTGTGGTTGCCTATAGCTATTGTGACGTGTTAATTTTTACCCCCAATCCTGTTGTAACCTCATCTGGTGATATTCTGGGTCCCCGGCCAGTTCTCAGCCAGGCAAAGCCCCCGGGAAGGACATCTGGAGCTGTGCTGCCTTCAGGAAGGCGGGGGGCAGCTCTCGGGATTTGTCCCAGTGCTGTTGGACACTTCAGGAGCATTAAACCTACCCGGTGACGTGGAAGTGGGTGATCAGGCCATGGGAGGAGATGGAGAATTTGGCGGAGGGTTGTGTATGTGTCTTGTGCCCCCCAGCACGCGCACCCTGCCCCCTGCTATTAACTTCCAGTTAGGACTTTTCTTGAACTCTTAGTGTCGGAGTAAAGTTTTCTTATGCTGATAATGTATTCGTATTATGCAACGTACTCAGAAAAAAAAAAAAAAAAAAACAACAGAAGATTATCTCTCTCTGACTGTCCTCTCCTCTCGAGAAGCTGTTCTCTTCTGTACATATGATATGCAGAATGTATGGGAGTCTTACCAGCGTTGGTTTGCATTTTTAAGACTGTACTAATTAATGTGTGATACTATTGTGTTCTCGTAGTGGCATCTTTGATGTAAGATGTAAAAACTATTTAAAATGACTTTTTCTTTTTTTTGTTATTGTTCAGCTTTTAGAGATAGCACCAAGGACTGCATGTTCACTAGAATCAGCCTTTTCCAAGGGCCGTGGTAGCTGCACACAGGCGCCGGCGTTTCACCCGGAGCATCCTACCCGCGCTTTCCTTTTAATAGGGGTCAGTTTTGAGTGGAAACTTAATTCTTCCTGAAAAGTCTAGTTTTCTGTCTTTTCCTCTCTCAGGCTCAAGCTTCCCCCTCCCGCGCTGTGTGCCAGTCCTGGCCCCAGGAGGAGACCCAGCCAAGGGGTCCCCCTGGCAGCACCCCGCTTGGGTTCCTTACCCCTTACCTCACCCCTGAGGTTTTCCACGAGACTGCTGGCCGTACCAGGACAAAAACGATGGATTCACATTTTAGGACCGTTTGTGCAAGTGACTTTAAAATGAATTAACTAAAATTCTGGTGAATTAAGCAATTAAGGAAAAGAAGAGCCTGAGTGACAACTTTGGGGTTAGAATCTTATTGGAGCTTAATATAGTGAGAACTTGAGGTCAGTCCCTAGAAGATGGGACCATTTTGTGGGGCGTTACATCTCTTGTTGGGTTTGGAGAGGGAAGAGGGGTTCAGATCCAGCCTTTCAGGCAGGATTGACTGATTCAATGGATTGAGTCTGAGAGAGATGCTTCTCCAGATCGTGTCCTGGGCCAAAAGACAAGACATGCTGCAGCTTAGGAGGTTTTTTCTTTTTTTTTTCTTTTTTTTTTTTTTCTTACTTTTTCTTTTTAATGGAGAAAGCAGTTCAAACTGCACCTGGCAAAATGACTGACTTCAAAGCATGTTTTTCCTTCTTATATAGACACTCACAAAACAGCATTGTGTGGTTAAAAAGGCGCATTCGTGATAGTTTCTTTTTCAGTGCCAAAATATATAAGCAGTATTGTTTGAAGGGAAATAACAATTTTTTTACTGTATTGTTATTACTGTTGAACAAATATTGTTTTTAAATGTTAGATTTTGAAGACTTTTGTATTGTAAACTGTTTTGTGACATGGTGCTTTTTCATACTGGAATTACTGATTGCACCTAAATATGAATTATTTTGTTTTCTTATATAAATATGTAACCTTGAACAACCTTGATGAAAACCCATGTGTGGTGGATACCGACAGTTCAAACAAACTCTCCTCCTGAAATCCCCTAAATGTTCTTTCCTACTAATAAATATCCTGCTGCAGCTAGCTGTGGTGTGCCGTGGGCTCTTACTCCCCTCGCACCGGAGCCTTCAAGCTCCATGGTTTGGTGAGCAAACCTTGGAGAAGCCTTTGCCTGCTGCCCTCACAGCCCCTGGACCCTTCACCATGGCGGGCAAAGGGGCAGCAGCCGGGCAAGCCAATTTGGAGGGCTTAGTGAGGGCTTAAGCTGGGCACGGGCGCTGTGCTGGCACGTTGCTGACATAGCTTTGCCTTCAGCAGCTAAAGCCGGGCACGGGGCGAGACAACACGGAGTAGTTTGTAAAAGCAAAGGACAGCACAAGGCTGAGAGCACTGGTCCTCAGCTGACTCGGCTGATGGAAGCTTGCCCTGCCAGAGAGAAACCCCTCTCTGGGTTTAGGGCAGTTTTTTCATCCCCTGGATGACTACCCTCAGGGGGACAGGACATAGGGAGGGATGATGGGGTGGTAGCGGTGGGTAGTCGCTCTGAGACATGGTTCATGGGGCTCCTGCCAGCCTCAGCTGGCTCCGGAGGGGGCTGGCTCCTGAGCACGCTTGTTAAGCTCCTCAGACTTCTACCTAGGTTAAATTTGGAGCTGGGATTAGCACCAGGGTGCTAAAAGTAGTTTAAATCCCTCTGGAAGGTAACTGAAACCAGTGCCTATTTCCTTTTGAGATTCAAAAAAAAAAAAAAAAGCCTATTTGTGGAACTGCACACTAATATGGGCTTGAAAGAGGCTGGAGCCCGGGTGGAGCATCAGTTACACCACCCAGGTACCCCCTGTGCTCAGTGCACCTTCAAACAGGCTTTACTACCTGAGCTTCCAGCAGTATCCCTGCGATACACGTTCTCCAAACCCTCCCACTAGGGCCACAACACGATTTAGCATCAAGTCGTACAAAAGGCAGGGGTGTAAGGGGGTGTTTATCTGCATAGGATGCTAAAACCCCCCCACTTTTACCACCCTTGCTGGTCTGTGCATCTCGCCGTGCAATGCCCACGGCTTCTGTCCCAGGACAGGGATGCAGACGGGCTCCCAGCACAGAGCCTGGCTTCAGGTGATGGCCACCACCAGAAACCAGAGCACACCTTGCACCCTGGCATCCGGGACTGTCCCTCCCAGTCCATGGGGAGAAGGGGACCCAACACCCTGCGGCTCCTTGGCTTGTGAGCCCTGGATCTGGTGCCATCTGGGAAACAGCACACTCTGGAGTCAATCGCTGTTTTCAGCAGCACCCATCGACCCAAGAGTTTTGCAAAGCGCAGAAAAACACAGCTTTGCTGCCCCATTGAGTGCCCTAGAGATTTGATCAGGAGGTAGAAGAGGGGTCTCCTGCTCCCCTCTGCCCGGAGAGGGTTGTTTTTTTCTTAAAGACCTGGTGAGTCACCTTGGCAAACCCTCAGAAACACGCTGTGGGTGAAGGGTTCCCATCAGCCCACATGCTTCTCCTGGCTCCTCCACGGCCTCCCAGATGGAGCACCTCCAGCCACTCCGCTGTTCAAGCACTTGCATTTCAAGAGCCACTCAGTAAAATGACTTCCTGTAAAACACGATTAAACATCTATTGCAGGCAGTGCCCAGGAAACGTGATTCCTTCAAAGAGCCTCAGGGGAGCTCAACCCCCTCTGCTCACCCAGAGAGCATCCCTGGGGCCTGGCAAAGCCCCCGAGAAACTCCCCAAAACCTGCTGGACCAAGGAGCCATAGTGGCAGAGGCAGCACCTTGGGCTGTAACCTCATCCATGGGGGCTACCAGCACCAGCAAACTGCAGCCGGTCCCACAGCTGCCATCATATATGTATATACCTATATATATATATACATACACTATTATATACATACGGCTTTTGGTTCCTGCTGTAGCAGACGGGCTGCACTGGAGACCATCATCAGGGCAAAGAGCACGTGGTGGGAGGGGAACAGGTCTCTGTGGTTTCCGGTGCACCTGGGAAGATCTCTTCTTCTGCTCTTGGTGAGTCAGTCATAACTCACTGAGCTACAGAACCCTGTGCCCAGCTCTCCCGTGTATCACAAACAGACAGCCGACAAATACTTTTCAAAGCTATTAGAAAATGCCAAGCACATAGGGAAAGCCTTCTTTGGAAACCTTTGGTGGCTGTGAAAAAGCTCTTGGAGCTGGACACATCTGGATGAGTTTTGCTTGGATGGGGATGGGGAAGGGCCGGAGAAAGCTGGGATCTTGGAGCCAACACTCCACTGGCCAAGACATTTCAGGTGAATTAACTTCTTTCCTCATTGCCCAAGCGTGGTCTCTGCCTGACACGAGAGGAGATTTCAGGGCTGGCTCTGGCACAGCAGGTTGTCCCGCTCAGGACCTGCCCTCAGCAGGAGCACTGAACTTCTCCACCCCACAGTAAGATGGGGCTGCCCCACCGCTGCTTGGGCAGCCTCCCTTTGCCGAGGCAAATGCTTTCCCAAGCAACCTCCCCCTTACTTAGATGTTTTCACCTCCCGGATTCTCATTTGAAAAGACAAAGGCAACGGGTGCAGAATAAAACGGTGGATGAAAATGTTTTACCTCAAGATGCACGGCCAAGAATGTGTCAGTGCTTTGGGCACACAGGGCACAGCAGGAGCAGATGTGGGTCAGGATCTCATCCCAGCAGCACTCAACTCACACAGATGATAGTGCCACCGCTTCGAGCCAGGTTCCCTGGACACTCCAACGTGTCACAGAATCACAGAATTGTTGAGGTTGGAAGGGACCTCTGGAGGTCATCTGGTCCAACGCAAGCAGAGCCACTTACAACTGGCTGCCTAGGACCATATCCAGGCAGCTTGTAAGTATCTCCAAGCATGGAGACTCCACAGCCTCTCTGGGAAACCTGTGCCAATGCTCGGTCACCCTCACAGTAAAAAGTGTTTCCTGATGTTCAGAGAGAATCCCTCGTGTTTCGGTTTGTGCCCATTGCCTCTGGTGGGCACCACTGAGAAGAGCCTGGCTCCATCCTCTTTGCACCCTCCCTTCAGGTATTTGTACACACTGATAATGTCTCTAGAGCCTTCTCCAGGCTGAACAGTCCCACATCTCTCAGCCTGGCCCCACAGGAGAGGGGCTCCCATCCCTTCATCAGGCTAGTGGCCCTTTGTTGGACTCTCTGCTCTAGGTCCATGTCTCTCTTATACTGGGGAGCCCAGAACTGGACACAGAACTCCAGGTGTGGCCTCACCAGCACTGAATAAAGACCACCTCCCTCAGCCAGCTGGCAATGCTCTGACTAATTCAGCCCAATCTTTGAGCCCATGCTTTGGTGATTATTTTTTTCAGTCTCTGTTCTTTTTTTCTCGGTAGAATGAACTTCTATTTTCTGCTTTTTGAAGAGTTTTCTGGGCTCAGACGTGGGAACTCAACCCCAGTATGCAGTCATACACATTGCAGCAACAGACATATTATCTCATACATAGGAATATTTATTTTTTTCCTTCTTAAAAATGTACAAAAAATAAAATAACTGTATTTACAGTTTATCAAACCCCTCTCCCAGTTGCAACACTATTAAGTTACATGAGCTATTTTCTTAATATAAAAGCACACTATTTATACATAAAGTTTCCTTGTTTGTCAGAAAGAGGGCTCGTCACAAACTTTGGCACAAACATTTGTGTTTGTATCTTGTCTCAATTCATAGGGAATGGAAGAGCAAATAAACATTTCATAATGTTTCATTTCATAAGCTTTACATTTTAAAAGGCATAAGATACTCCTTTCCAGTTCCATATCAATCAATGTACAGCATCTCTGACAGCTAGAGAGTTTCTTTTTTACTAACTGTTTGAATTATTTTACAACATTTAAACAATCCATAGGCTGAAAGGGGAAAATATACAAGAAAGACACTTGATCTCTGAACTCCCAAAAACTTCATAAGAGAGGACACAAGTGAAAAAAAAAAAGTTCTTTTCTTTGTAGTTTACATTTAGTGGTAAAAATCCTCCAAAATGTCTTGATGGGGATATCACCCTACATCAACAAAGCTTTACTGCAAGGATGCACTTTATTTTGGGGATATCAGCACCTGACTGTGTAGAAAGAAACTAAAATTTGAGATTTGGGGCTTTCATAATAAAACATCAAATGGACGGACACAGTGCCAAATACGCAGCGGGAATGAAAATTAGAGCTTAAAAGACTATTCTCCTCTTGCACATCTCTGTCAGACTCTTTTGAAACACAACATCTACAGACACTGCACTGCTCTAATTCTTCACAGGGAAAATGAGCTGAGCAGCAAGGCACCCTTCAGGCTGCACCAGTGACGATCCAAGACTGCTGTCTTGAAGAAGGAAAGGAAATGAGAGTTTTGTTCCTTTAAATAAACAACCACAGCAGTGCCACAGAGAGACAAAAGGAGGCAAGGCAGATATTCCTGCCCCTTGCTGAACAGTAGCCAAATCCTACTTCCATTTAACTCATAATATTTGGAAGATCCAGCACTAATTAATATTTGTCATTAAACAAAAGCAACATGTATATTTTAAACAATACACATGGGAGCACTTTGTACTCCTAAAGACCTTTGAATCAAGCAGGGCGTGAGGCAGGTCCCCACTTCACAAGTTTGCATGACTCCTACTGGCCCTTCCCCATCACTTGGATAGCCTGTTTTTGACCAGCGAGGTGAAGCCTGAGAACTCCTACCTTGCCACGACCAGCATCCAAGGTTCACTGCTCCTCCAGCAGCTGATGCTGTACCTACAACTGAAGACTGGTAATGTCTTAGGTACTTGTGATGCATCTGGAGCAGAGAAACAAAGCCCTCAAACCCTGGTAGATAAAGTTAAGCGCAATCATCCGTAACTAGCTCTAGTTGTTGTTTTAAAATAATCTTATGATGAGGGTAAATCCTACTCGTCTTCCTCAACCCTGCTACCTTCATTGAGACTGTAAGAAGGAACTAAAGGCAGAAGCATCAGCTCTTGTGTATCAGGAATTTGCACACTTTAAGACATATTTAGAAAAGCTCTCAGTTAACCTTAGAAGCAACTTTCCTTCCCTGACCAAAAG